TCCTCACGAGGCCGTTAAGGCAGCGCGTTGTGTAGCGCGTGTGTGCTGGCTGACTCTTGGGTCTTGTGGGGTTTTTTTTGTTGTTTTGTTTTGTTTTAACAAAGGAAGCTTCATGGTATCTGGTGTTCTTTCTTTTTTCCACATACAATAAACCTGTTGGAGGTATTTTTCAAAAAATCAAAAGCGGCTGCAAAAAAAAAACCCGCATTCAATGTAATTAGAAGGAAAAGGTCAACTTGATCCAATACAGATTGTAAGTACGATTGCGTGGTGTGTCTATAGCACTTAAATGTGTTTTTTTTTTCCTTCGTGCAAAGGGAAGTGTTAAGAGTTTGGGGTGTTGAAGTAACTTTTTTTTTTTTTTGGGAGGGGGGGAGTAAAATCCATATAAGTAGGAGGATGAGCTATTTGAGAGAAATCAGAAGGTGAAAGGACCATAGTCACACAAATCATGCTTGACGGCGTCCTCGGGGAGCGTTAAAGTACCTTCTTTGAGGAATTTTAACTAACTGATAGGGGAAAACAAAACTTACACAATTACAGATCAGTCTACAACCCCAACAGAACCCCCAAAAGACAGTAGCATGCTAAAGGAGCGAGGAGGCTTAGAGAGGACACGGGAGGCATTTCTCCTGTCATATATTAACACCAGAAATACGAGGCTGGAGCTGAGGGGTGGCATCACCTGTTTGCTCACACTGCCCTGGGCGCTTCCCGAGGCGTCTCCCACAAAACAGCCCCCAGCCGGCACCACTGGGGGTGGCAGAGGGCTGCCTGCCGCCTTTTCCAGGACGTGATCCCTTGGCTGGAGGAAATGCTTCATCTCTGTAACTGGTAGCGGTGGGGGAGAAGACCCTTTTTTATTTTTTTTTTATTTTTTTTTAAATCAGATCAGTATTTGCTTGATATGCTTGGCACCCATTTTTCCTCTCACAACCAACTGAGCCCACGAGCCTCACGTGACAAAAGCGGCCTGCCATGTAAGGGTTTTTTTCGGTTGCTGCTGCTGCCCACTACTATTTCTCTTTTAGCTTTCCAACACCAGCTATTTAAAAATATTAAGCTAAAGCTCTGAGCCTCGTCTGATTTACGAGGAGGGGGAGGAAAGGGGGCTGGTGGACAGAAGAAGGGGAGGAAAGAAATAGACTGTGAGTCTTGCTGAGACAATGCGGGGGGGAGAGGGAAGCGATCTCTCCTGGAAAAAAAAGCTTGTCTGTTTTATCTGTTTGGACACTAGTTACTGAATTACTTACCACATGACTAAATTAGCCCAAGCTCCCATTTTATTTTTTTCTATAGGCAGCAATTTGAAACTCTAGTCTGTGCTTTTTTAATTGTTTTTTAGACATTATTTTGAAGACTCCCCCCCGCCTCCCGCCGAACCCTTCGGAAAATGAGAGCACACTCCGCTCCCACAAAATGTTTTCATAACCGTTATATCGGATCAGTGGTTCCCTCAAGTTAGTTCAAGAAATCGTATCTGTCAGCACGGGCGAAAAAATGCCACTTCCCAACTAACAGGCGGAATACAGCCCAGATTTTCCATCTTTTTTTATCCTGATGTTAGCACGTTCTGTCTGTAGGTTTGTAGGCGCCTAGGTTTGTAGGCGCCTGTAGGTTGTTTGTTTGTTGCATGGAATCATTACTTACTGATCAGGATGGCTCCGAGGGCTGGGGCTGTAGAGAGAGTGTGAAGTTGGGGAAACTTTCTTTTTTTTTTCTTTTTTTTTTTTTTAATTACTGTGATGGTCGTTGTCTCTTGGTGCTTGTTCAGGAGAGCAAGCAAAAAATCGGGTCCTCAATGCTTTTGGTTTGAATATGCGATGTGACCTGACAGCTTGTAAAGTTGTGAGGAGCAGTGTTTTATTTATTTATTTATTTATTTTTTATTAAGAGAGCAGAAAAAGAAAAACAAACAAACAAAAGGGCTTCTGCTCCATGCCCCAAAGCAGGAGGAGATATGTTATTGATCATTTTATACTGGCTGAGATGTTACTTGCTTTCTACTTCTCAATCACTTGCTCTTTAAGTAAAATGAGGCACAGAGTTGCTGAGACGAGTGGGAACAGCATTTTGATTTGCTAGTTTAATTAAAATGATAAAGGATTAAAGATAAGTAATATGTATATATTTATATATATATATGTATAAATATGTATAAATATTTCAACAGATGACTGTAAAAGGGTGAGATCCCTTTAAAAAAATCATTTTAACTGAGCTTTATCAAACACACACTCATTTGCGATCACTGAGGCCACACTGGTGCAGATCACTTAAAGTGTATGTCTTAATCAGTTTCCTGTACAGTCAGTAACACTATTTTTAACAGACCTAACAATTGTGTGACCTGGGAGTACAGTAGGACTGCCTGTAGAACTGTTATCTTGAGCCTATTTTTAAAAGAAATAAGTTTTTTTTTTTCCTATAGAGTTTGATAATTTTCAGTAAATGTTTGTATATGTAGGTTGCTGTCTTGTATTGTGTCAAGGAAAATGAGGTTTCCTACTTTTCTCTGTTCTTCCCTCCCTCCCCTATTAAAAAAAAAAAAAGAAGAAAGAGGAAAAGATAATACAGGAAAGTCGCAAAACTTCAAGGGTCTGGTTTAAAGCCACAGAATCCATGGAATACTCTGAAGAGTGAATCTGTGTCCTTCCTTTTCTCCCTTTTGTGCCCGTAGGTGGTGGTCCAGGTCGTTAGATTGCAACGTGTGCTCAATAGCTAGGCACAAGTCCTAAGTCTGTATTTCCTGAGCTTTGTGGATTTAAATCATGCAGTTATATATTTTTTTCTCTACTTTTTGACGTGACTTTTTAAGAGAGATCATGGATGTTGGGATACAACTAGATTCGAGATGCTCACTGTAAAAGCATCACAGCCTTTGCCTCCAGTTTAACAAACTTAAAAACAAACCTGTAGAAATATTGAGTGATTTCTCTCCCCTTGCCTTCTCCCTTTTTATTAATTGCATTATATTCTGGTAACATCCAGACAAAAAATATTCGACCTTTCCCCTCCTCACAGGCAAAGGCAGACATGGACTGCAGGGTATAAACCTAGACATACCTGGGGGAGGAAGACAAGAAGAGTTAAATTAAAAAACCAAAAAAAAAAACCAAAAAAAAAACAAACAAACAAACAAAAAAACCCAGCGGAGATAAACGAATGTCCCCACATCTCCAAAGGAAAGTTCATCGGATTTTTATTCTAGAGATCTCATCTTCAGGATGTCAGTGAACACTTCCACTGCAGGAAAAGGTGTGGATCCAAATGCGGTTGATACTTATGACAGTGGCGATGACTGGGAAATCAGGGTTGGGAATTTAATTATTGATTTGGATGCTGATTTGGAAAAGGACAGACAGAAATTTGAGAAGAATAATTCCACGGATACCAGCAGCAGCACCAGCTACAAGGATTGTGAGGGTCTGGCTTTCAGTGGGGCTAATGCTACCTCGGTCTTATCTGATGGCCTAAAATTTGCTTCTGTTCAGCTCTCTGCTCCCCAGGGGAATTCCTCTCACAAAGAGACTAGCAAATCAAAAGTGAATAGGAGCAAAACTTCTAAGGATGCTAATAAATCTCTGCCTTCTGCTGCCTCGTATGGGATTCCTGAGATCAGCAGTGCTGGCAAGAGGCAGGAAGTCCAAGGGCACCCTGGAGAGGCAACTGGCATAAATTCAGCACTGGGTCAAAGTGTGAGCACTAACCTAAACGGCAACAACAACACCAGCAACAACAAAACTATTGCATCTTGTGGGAAAAACAAAGAGGAGAAACCAGGTAAAAACCAGGGCAGCAGAGGCTCCAAGCGGGATAAGGATGCGGGGAAGTCCAGGAAGGACAAGCAGCATGACCTGCAGCAGGGCCACCCCAACAGCAGTGGGGGTAGCAGCAACCTAGCTCCCCCTGGGCACCTCTATGGCTACAGGGCCAAGGGCGG